TGGCTTAAAGGACCCCGGTCCATCGGTGGCTGTTTTTTTTTTTTTCTTTCTTCCCGTCTACTTCGGGAATTCCTTCTCGAGCGGCGTCGTCACGAGAATTTCACCCACGACTCCTTTTTACGATCGTCCCCGCAGTAAAAATGTCGCAACGGCTTGGATTAAGTCCGGCATTAAAGGGGTGGAGGGGGGAGCGAGAGATGTCAAAACAACGAATTGTATTCAGCCACTTCTTCGCGGCGCCCGCGAGATTCCCGGCAACGTAGCTATTCGAATGTACACGGAGGAATAAGATGAATAAATTTTGCGGCGGAAATATAAACTACACTGAACGACAATAAAGGCGATAAGGTGAAAGCTGTTACATGCCAGGCCGTTCCCGACTGTTCTAGTTCTTGGCCGAAATCTCATGGGTTTCCGTCGCTTCCGCATTGTTCGTCGACGTCCGCTGAAGTTTGACGTATTCGAACTATTTCTCCATCGATAATCTAACATTTGAGTCGAAGGCATTTTTGGTCGCGAGCGAAGTACTAATTCAAGCCAGCGATCTCCCGCGAATTTCGCTGATAGCGGTGCCCTTTATCGAAAAGCCCTTTATCGAACTCTCTTGAATAGCGATTACAGTGTGGCTTCCATCGATATCCGATAATGTCTCGATAGCCTCGTTAACTTTTATGCGGTCGCGTCTGGGGTTGCTGATGCGGCGGGTCGCGAGATATTCGCAAGCGGAAAAGATCCCCGCGCGTGTATCTTTAGATCCTGTGAATGTACAATCTCTGTGAATGTATATCTCTGATTGTGTTTAAAAGCCAGTCGTGCTGTCGGCGAAGAGAGAGAACGCCCGCATAAAGAATTTCTTGCGATCTAATTGGGAACTTTTCGCGGGGAAGTACGCAAATTTCCTGAAATAATTGTAGATTCTAGTCGAGAAATCTACGCAGGTTCCACGTGGTTTTTACCATTAAGAGGTTTCGTTTTAAATCATTAGAGAAACAAAGTTTTTTTTTAGTGTGGAATCTGAAAACGATATCTGATGAATGACCGCCTCGATTTCTTTTCCTACAAACGGTCACACTTTTTTTTTATAAATTTTTACATGAGTAGGGGGGGGGGCGGTAGTTTGAAATTATTCCTCGAGCAAACATCACATTGCCGCGCACTCTAGCGAGTTGTAACTTCGGCCCGAGCACGTTGCGAGCTCGTTTATCAAGGCTGAGTAAGTAAGTGTAATTAGCCGCTGGCTAAAAAGCGTTGCTAAAGTATAACGTCCGGGGATGCCGGGGGAGAGGAGAAAGTTTTCGCGAGTCACCTCTCTCGTAATCCGCAATATAACCTTCGAGAGGTCTTCGAGAGGTCCTCTTCCTCCTTCTTCTCGAGCGATGAAGGGCGAGAGATCGAGGAGGAATGAGACGCAAAGTTGTCGGCAGGGTAACTCATAAGTCCGGCTTAAGTTCTCGAAGCAGGTGTTGCTGCTGCTTCTTCTTCTTCTGACGAAGAAGGAGACTTAGCGCTATCCGTACCGCTCACCGAGCGTAAATTAGATTCGGAAGTGATAATAAGATAAACAATAATAAAACGAAAGTTAGAAGTTAGAAGAGCTTATATTCAGGTCAGACGAGTTCCGTTCGTGTTAAGACGTCAACGCGACGTAACAACAACGTCGCCAGGGGAGAAGAGTCCGGTTTAACAATTTAATCGCTAGTTGCTGAACTGAACTTTGACTCGATCGTCTCTCCCGAGAGATATTCCTTCGCGGAGTGTAAATAATTTTCCGTCTGGAATTTATATTTAGACCCTCCCCTCTACGACGTTGTTTCGGGATTTTTCAATCGGCGAAAAAAGCAGAAAGCTTTGCCTTTGCAGCCGAAGCGTATATTTCTTTCTCGTGAATGTCGTAGAGCCTTGATAAATCGCGACGCCACCGTTTATCAGGCGCGATGCTTTAATCGTTCCCTCGTCCTTCGAGATATCAGCCGCTCCGAGCTCGTTTACGGCGCGGCTTTCCACAAACTGCTTGCTCGATAAAAGTCCAGACGTTACCCCGAGATACTTTCTTAACGTGCCGTTATGTCCGCCTGCGCGCAACGAATGAGCGTGAGCAAATGGTGTGTGCTTGAAATTACGAACACAACACATACACACACACACACATATTATTTTAAGAAGATCAATTACGACCGAATTTTCCGAAATTAACGTCACTTTTATCTCTCTCTCTCTCTCTCTCTCTCTTTCTTTCTCTCGCGCGCGCACGCAAGTGTTTATAATTTAAATAACATTTTGTCGTCAACTCTGGCGACGAGATGTAATTCCATCAGAAACTTCGAAATCGAATTTGCATTGAAGAGCGCGAGACTTTCCGGTTGGAAAGGAACTGGGGGGGGNCGCCGAGAGGCTCTGATAATTATATACGGGAAAAAGCATGCCGTAACGTAATCGAGTTCTACGACAGATGACTGTCGTCAAAGGGAAGGTGGGGGATGGAGGAAGGAAGGGTAGCTCCAGGCTGCGATCGCGTGCGATGGAGTTTCGGCTGTCCCTAAAATTCTACGCGATCTCTCCGTCCCTCTCCTCCACGTATCACGCGCACGCCCGTCCATCCTCGTGAATAATTCATGCGATAAAACTTTCAGTGCCGGGCAGGGGCAAAGGGAGGCGCCGAAACTCGGAGAACCGGGAAGAACGAATCATTACGTCTCTCTCTCTCTCTCTCTTTCTCCCCCTTTTCTCCTCGCTAACTCAAGATTGATATAGATCGTGTACATTTAGCGTGCAGTAATGATGTATGATGACCAAGACGAGCCTTCACAACCACGGCCGTATTCATCTCTCAAATTCTTCAGCCACAAAGAGGTAGAGAATCAAAGCTGACATATGTATGGAAAATGGACGTTCTCGTTTACTTTTTGGCCAGAAAGTATTGAATTCGATTGAACAGTATATGAATTTCGTCTATTGCGTGCGGCAGGTGGAACCGAAGTGGCAATTTCTGTCTTGATGGAATCAATATATATGAAAATTATTATATAATACTATCATATATTTTGATAGAAAAATATTGCACCTTTATATCCATGCACATAAATAAGTAATATATACATAAATAATTATATATATATATAATTACTGTTATTTCAATTAATTAATAATTAATTATCACGTTATTCCGCTATTGTCGCAATGTTGAATGTCGTCGGCAATGTAGAAGAAAAATATCAAGACCGACATGCCATTTTGTTTATCGGTTCATCAATTTGTCCTTCTTATTTATTCTTTTCCGTACGTCGCCCCTACGATACTCGCTACCGTTGGTGCGTACGTAAACGTCACGTGCAGAAATGTGGCCATGCGATGTGGAGGATTCGCGAAGGGCGGTGGACCGTGTGGACCACATATTCAATTTGCATTCCGCAAATCCGACTTGCCTTGGTTAAAGAATTTTAATAAAGAAAGGATGGTACCCGAGAGAGAGAAAGAGAGAGAGAGTGGACACGGGTTATCCTCATTGCTACTATACAGGTACCCTTTATATATGTGCAGCGGCAAGGTGGATTTATGCCCTGCGGGGGTTTCTTTCATCCGACGACCTGGAAAAAGGGACGCCGATACTCGGTTCCCGCATAAGCCGAATATCGATGCCGCGCAAACGGCGAATAAATCAAATGAATTCGCGAAGTTGGTGCATTTCTCGTGTACTAATGCGACTGCGTGCGCTGTCAGGGGTGCACCGCTGACTCAGAATTAACGGCTCCCTCCGTTTCTATCCGGCTGAATCTAGATATACCTGAGACGAAATTTTCGCGCTACTTGGACGCTCTTAAGGACAATTTATGTCTATTTAGATAGCCTGTACATCGAGAAAAGGGTTCCTTTAGATTTAGTATTTCTATTTATTTGACTAAAATCTGTTTCATAGAAACAACATACATGAAATATTATTTGTTGCCTGGCGTTGTCCTGATAGAAATATATATATATATATATATATATAAAATTTTATATAGAGTTACTTTCTCACTGAAATCAATATCCCCCGTGATATTACAAATCGTAACGCTTCGCTTGCGTAGCTCGTGGGAAAACGCACGCGTTTCCACCGGCGATTTTTCCACTGGCTCAATGTGCTTGATCCTTACTTCTAAGCCCGTTATCCTTGCCTTTGCCTAGATTATTAATCGCATTTTTCCGCAGCGAAAGCAGTTCTTTGACCGGGATACTCGGCGTCTGCCTCCGCGTCATCTTTGAAAAGAAAGAGAGATAGTTCTCGTTTGTAACTTTCGTCTATCACGGCACCGTCCCTTTGTCTTTGTCGTGAAGCGGGCATCCTCTTGGAAGCCGTTCCGAGCGATTTATGAATTATTCACGGAACGGCCGAATTATTCACGACGGCGACTGCACGAACGGTTCGGCGACACTTAATTGTAGGCGGTGGGAAAGCAGGACGAATCCATAATTTAAAACGCGCCGTTCTCCGTCGCGACTCGCTCGCTCGCTCGCTCGCTCGCCCGCGGCGATTGCGATAAATAAACGCGTTCAGCTTCTGTGCGTTAGTTAAAACGGGACTCTTGATGTAATGAAGAGAACGGATCAGAAAATGTATGTATGTGTATCGCGTTGGAGATAACTCAGTGATGTCGTATCCGGCGATAATATATATCAGTTTAATATTAATATTAATCTTGTTGATCTCAACGAAGCAAATTCTATCGACAAGCCGAGTCGAAATTTTGCCCCTAAACCTTCGATTCTACAACGTAATAGAAGCTAGGATAGTAAATAGTGAAACAAATTTTAGTAAACAGAAATACTGATATAAATCTGAAGAAAACTTTTTCTCCGTGTAGATACAGCATATTTTAGCCACAAAATCACGATCGAGGATCCGGAATATTTTTTAATCGCAATCTTTGCTGTAAACGATTCCCGCAATGTGAAATATCTCAAATGCCACCTTTTTCCGTGGATGAATTTTACGAACCGGCTGTGTGCTCCTCCTGTTTCAGTCTCTTCTCGGACTTGAGGAGTCTGGCAGGCACGACTCTGATGAATCTTTTGGCGGCCCTCTTCATGGTTCAGCTACTCTTCATCGTGGGAGCTGGAGGCGTACAGGTGAGTTTCCATCGCTCCGTCCTTATTTATTTAACGCGAAGCAGCTCCCGTGTACGTTCACATAAACGCGGCTTTTCATTATGCAGAAACGAAGGAATCCATAGTTAAATATGAAATACTACTCGTAGCCGTTGCATTCACTGCACGGTTGCGCTTCCGCGATATAAGCGAAGTGCGGTAAAACACGACACGACGTTAACACGTCGCGAAAATACTCGAGCAGCCCGGGAGCAAAACATACGCAAATATATCTAGAGATTCTGCAGTTGATTCTGAGTTCGACCTTGTGATCCGAGTTTCAATAGTCGTCGCGAGTGATGCGAGTGAAAGCCAAATACGTACGTCAACGTAAAATTGTTCCCACGGAACGGTTCGTTCTTCGTTCGACAACGAGAGAGGATTGTACTTCTTCCCGAATCACCTTGTACAGATACACAGCACGAGAATCCTTTCTCGGATCTGCCAAGGTGCGAATTTCAGTGGCTGCTTCGGTATTTGAGAGAGAAATATTGAGCGAACGAGCGAGAGGGTGAGAGGAAGCAGGGGAGGGGAATTCCGCTCTTCCTCT